GTGGCGCCTCTGGCCCGGGGAAAGCGGCAAGGGCCCCGGCTCCTCGCAGGGATGCAGCTGCCCGCTGCCGCCGCCGCGGGCTCCTAGTTATACAGTAACCTGTTGCTCCGGGTCCCAGCTCCACCTCTCGCTGCCTCCACATCCCTCCCCTCCTCTGCTCCGCTCTCCTCTGCCAAGAAACCTCTGTCACCTGCTCTCAGATAGCCGGGTGAGCGGCACCAGGAGCGGAGCGAAGCCAAGAGGCACCAGCACCCCCCCGGGGCTGGGCCGTCCGGTGGGTTTTCGCCTCGCTCTCTCCTCCGGGGCTGCAGCGCTCGGGCTCCGGGCAGAGCACTTTGCAGGCAGGGAGGGAGCTTGGGCTGCCGGAGAATGGCAGCAGGATTAAACTAGGAGGGCACGGCTATCCGGGAGAGGAAATACAGGCGCCCGGGACACCGTGGGAGACGGGAGAGGCTTCTCGACGCCGGTAAGTCTCTCCTTTCAAACCTTAACGTTTCATGCATCCCCTTCCCCACATTTGCCTGCTTCAAAAGTCTGGTTGATTCGGCTGCAGAGGGAGTATGTGCAGACAGGGAACTGTGGCTGGCAGGACGTAAACTGCCTAGTTCTATGTTTATTTTTAAAAGGCGAGAAAAGAAGTAATTTTTCCAGTGTTATTTTTTTCTGGGTTTGTTTCCCGTTCTTGTACTTCCCAGCCGGCCCAGATCCAGTAGGTGGCACTTTCTTGGCAGCGAAATGTCGAATCGGGCGCAGAACAGGATTTTTTTTTTTGTTGTGTTTTTTTTTCTTTATGAAATCTGGGGACTAGTTTCGAGCAGCTGTTTGTTTGCAAACCTTGGGGTTTCCTTCTTTCGGGACGGGTGTGGAAAGAGTTGTCGCCCTTCCCCACTTAGGTGCTGCCCAAATTGCAGCTTTCGATGAGCGCTCGCTGCCTGTGTCCTTGGCGAAATTCATTGCCCTGTTTCAAAATCGAGGGGAGGCTCGCTCTGAGCTGCACCGTTCGCCTCCCAGGACAGCTCAGGCTCCCCGCGAGCTTCGGTCTGCGTTAACGAGTTTGAGCACAGCTCTCCTTTCCCCTTTCACTTATTTGACTGGGAAACGCCAGTGCAAATTCCACAGGGGAGAAGGCTTCGGGACGACGGATTGGATTCGACGTTATTTTTAAATACCGGGAATAATTGCAGCACAACACAGTAGCAAAATACAATGATTGCCCTGCTGTAATTAGGGCAACGGGGAGTAACGCTTCCGTTGCTGGGCTGCTTTGAAACGGTACATGAACTGAGCGGTATACACAGGGGACCTGATCCGTTGGTGGTTGCTTGTCCAAGAGCTCTCATGCTTGGGTGGGATCCGCCCCTAAAAAAGGACTTTTTTGGAGTTAAAGAAATGCCAGCCAGAGGCTGAGCCCCCGGCTGATGCACAGCATCCTGGCTAGCTGAAGGGGAGACCCACAGGGGTTTTCGCCAGCGCAGCCTCATGTTTAGTTGACTGCTCGAGTTGTTCAGTTGAGAAGGGAGAAAAAACAGTCCTTCACAAATGTAAAGGGGAGACTGCTCGTACTGAATCGAGGAGTCCTCTAAAACTTTGCTTTGAAGAGAAACTTGGGATCCTCTGTGGGAATGTTGCTGAGAAGTGGCAAATGCGATGCCAGGCTTTGCTTCACCCTGATTAAATAGGGTTTATAAATTGGCACCTGAGATAACCCTGACTGCTTGGTTCCCCCATGGGGTCTGCAGTTGGACCTGGCCTGAACCTGCTACTGGTTTCTGCTGCTGGAGCATGAGGAAGCAAGGTTGGCTGAGGACCTGTCACTCTTTAGGCTGGCTCCCAGCCATCCAGTATGCACAGAAATCTGGACAGGGTCCCAGTGCAGGATCCAGTCCAACATACTTTGCAGGGCAGGGTAGGTTTGTCGTATAACGATACAGGTTAGAGGGACTGGGGGTGTTTTCGGCTACCTGAAAAAGTTGAACACCAGCATCACTGAACAGGGTGAGCTAAAGTCCCAAGGAAGAGATGACAAGCCGTAAAAGACGGCAGAGCACTGCTGATGTGCGCGCGTACGCATGCACACATACCCGTTTGCGCAGCGTGACAAAACAATTTGCCGATACAAGCTTGCAGTCCTTGGCTTTCTGCCCCCATGCCAGCTATCACCCAACGTGAGGACAGGCAAAGTGGCAAACGTAGAGGCGAGTAACCTGGCCACTGGACAGCATTAGGAGAAAATGTTTTCTGGGCAACAGGCTCTATGTCACAGAAGTAGCCAGGCTCTCTCCTCCAGTTCCTGCCTTTGTTGACTGCAAACCACTAACCATCGACTGGAGTGACAAAACCTGGCACTGAGCCTGGTGAAGTAGCTCCTACAGATAGTTACTTCTAGGGCTTCATCCACCTGATTCCTCACGGATGTAGGCGTCCTGTCGTTATGGACCGGCTTGCTGAGTTGGGCAGTAGCTTGCTTGTGCTGCCTGCAGTACATGTGCACCCTGGTACAGCATGGAGAAGGCACCGCTTGTGCTAATGTTGACAGCAGACACCATTTTGTAGGGTTGTCCTGCTGCGGCTGCCTGCCCGACTTCAGCCAAGAGCACAAAAAGCCAGGGAGGAGATAGGAGAAACCCAGGCAGCTAGCACCTCTTCGGCAGAGTATCTGGGCAGTATGTCCAGGGAAGGAGACCTTGCTGAGAGATGGTCTCAGGGCCAAATCTGTGAGATGTGGATATTGAAGTTAGCACCTGACCCTTGACTGGCCCTTAGTGTGCTGGAAAACAGAATGCTTTTTGCAGCATCATAGGATAATTCAGGTTGGCAGCCAAAGTTCATAGGGACTGAGATTCCTAATGCGCTAAAGGTCTCAGGCGGTTTCAGTCCTTCTGGTGGGCTAAGAAAGGAGTGAAACAGAGAGAATATATGAGTTGGCTTGTGTGGGCTTGAGAAACATCCATATAAAATAAGTCCGGGTGCAATGCCTGAGTGCGTGGGGGTATTATTCCTTGAGGGTTGGCTCCTGGGGTGCTGCTTTGGAGCTGTGTCTCCGTCACACTCTCGGCTTTCTTTTTCTCTTCCATACCATGATATCCCTCTAAGTGTTAAATCTGGGAGGGTTTGTGGTTTTGTTAAAGATCTAGCCACATTTTTCTTGTGCAGGGCTAAAGCCTGGCCTTACGTCGACTTTATGTAACAGCAGTCAGCAGTGCTGCTCTTACCTCCAGGGCAGCTGTTAGAACATGGCCTTTAGTCTATGAGTTTGTTGTGACTGGCAATAAAATTAATCACTCTTTAGAGATGCTCAAGCCTAGCATCTCCCAAACAGAAGTGCCAGGGAAAGTCCACTGACTACCCAGAGATGGTTTGCCATGCTGCCGTAAAGCTTCTCAGCAGTCCAGCCCAGAAAGGTGCCCTTCCTGGAACAGCAGCCGGCATGCAGACCCAGGCAGATCTAGCAGCACTACATGACTCTTCCAGCATGGCCTCCTGAAACAGCCTGCTTTCCTACCTAGGAGGTATCCAAGCCTCCCACCTGGAAGGGGGAGGAGGGTGGTAGCATCCAGGAACTCTCCTAGCTCATTAGACTGCATTATGGACGAGTGCTCTGCATGATCGGAGATGGAGCTAGGCAGTGCAGAAAGCCTGAGTAGTGCAGAGTTCACAATGCGGAGCAAGATCCAGGGAAGCCTACCAGACCTGAGACCACCCTTCAGCTCTACTGGATCTCTGCCCTGCCTGCTAGACCACACTTTTCATTTGTTGAGGTTAGAGCAGAGTGGGAGTTCAATCTTCAGGCCCTTCCAGCCTTCAGCCGCTCCACCAAGCTTGTGGTTGTGGCAGTGGTGTGGCCAAGGGGAAGGAGCATTAGAGATTTCACGTGCCCTATTGTGTAGCTGGGAGCAGTGACCAGCTGCTTACTCTACTTGCTTGCAGTGGGTTTGAACTGGCAGCCTCAGGGCAAAAGTGTGCTGTCACCCATTCCTTAAAATATTTAGTCACTGCGCATCAAATCACTGTCAATAAGGAGTCAAATGGGATGTCATAGGGGTGATCATATGAATTGGTATTGTTGCACTGATCCCACATGAACAAGGCCACCTCTGCATACAACTCGAGATCTCTACCTCTACAAAGGAAGTGAAAAGCTTCCCCCTGCCTGGGTTGGAGCAGGCACCATTTGCAAGCCTGAAATGCATGATGCCAGAGGGATTAACCAAAAAAGTCCTGATTTTTTTATTTCCTGGTAATCTAGATAAATCAGGAAGAACCTCAATTAAGAAGGGAGGGAAAGGTGTGTAGCTGAGAGCTGGACCGGTTTGGAAATCTTCCCCATTCACCTGCATTGCAATTCCCCAGGAGAGCTCAGCCATCGTTCCCATTCATTCAGCGCTCCCCAGGGCATTACTGCAATATGCTCGCCGCCACCAAGGCTCCATTGACGAGCGGACCCAAAGCTTCCCAACCCTTGCTGTCAGTGTCTTCCGGACACTGGCCAGACACGCTTTCTTCCTCCTGCTGACTCAGTGGCCGCACTGGGCTTGTCGTGACAATGGAGTCGGCCTCCTGTGGCTTCCCCTCCTCTCATCACCTCCCTGGCTAGTCAGGACTGCCCTGGGGCTGTTCCCAGCTGCAGTTTTGGTTGTGGGACAGACGGGTAGGAACAACAAGCCCAAGGTGGGGAATCACACACTCTGCCTGCTCGACCACCCTGGAGCAGGCAACGAAGAGGCCAGGCAGGCTCCTTTGGCCTGAGTTTGTTTGAAGCACCAAGCAAAATGGTTAGGTGACTGTTCCTGCAGGCACAACTGGATCCGGGGGACTCTCCCATCTGCACAAGGCAAGAAACTGATGATGGAGGTTGGAGTACTCTGTGTTGGAGCGAGGGGCAAGTGCAGCCCTGGCTGGTATTGCAGATGTCAAGAAGCTCCATGCCCTTTCATCCATCACTGCCTATGGCAGGGTCACAAATGAACTCCCCTCCACAAGCATCTCCCACAAAGATTTTCCTTATCCTGTTGAGACAGGCATCTTCATGTGCCAGAAATCCTCATTTCAGGTGCTACATTGCCACATCCAGTCCATGATAAGGGCTACAGCCAGTCGAGCCGTTAACCCACATATTTGCCTCTCCTCTCCCACTCCCCAATATGCTGCCACAGCTTATCTCAGGCAATTCAGATGGGCTGCAGGAGCCATCCAAAAGCCATAGCAGGAAGAGGGCAGCTGACACAATTTTGCAACAGCCCTGGCTGTCACGGTGGGCGGGGGTTCGGCACAAATGTGCCCTCATGGCCCACAGGCCTCCATCCCAGCCTTGCCACAGGTGAAGGCAGCTCCTTTGATGGCCAGTGGTGTAGTCATGCTCTGCATTTGGCAGGCTGGGGTCTTTGCGCATGAGTTTGAAAAGCACCAGGAAACGTTGTCTTTCTTTAGGGCTTCAGCTGGAGAAAGGGCCCAAAAAGCCTTTTTATA